TAAATTTTACGTTTGTACAGACCTAAATCATATACTTCAAATAATACACAAATTAAATTTAAAAGATATTTTATTATTAAAATTAATGAAAAAGGTTCAAAACAACTTAACAAACAAAATAGATCCTATATTTGATGACAAAAACTTAAAATTTGAACTTATTTTTGTGTCCAAAATTTGGCATTTCTGCCCGAGACTGCAACCTGGTTCTGATAAAGCTATCTCTAGAAGTAGCATCAGTTACGTTCTGCGAGGCTTCTGTAATCAGTTTAACACATCTTTCCACAGATTGTGTGTGGCAGGGAAAGTCAAAAATATCCAAGCTTTTATCTTTTACCATGATGTGAAGGTCCTCAGTAGAAATATGCCGAAGAACCGGCGGTGTTGTAACCTGACATTCGTGCCACATAATAATATCGGTGTAATCTTTAGCAGAGAAGTTAATTTTTGGTGTTTTAAATATTCTGCGTTTATCGTTACTTTCAGTGTCTCTAGCTTTTTTTATTCTTCGCCATGCCAGCTCCCTAATGTGATCTCTATCATCAAACAACATACTCACAAGTAAGTTTTCTGGGTGGGCAAAAAAGGCATTTCTTTCGATAACGGTATCCACAACAGATCTTAGATTTTCGGGTAGAAATCGAGAGTACATAATTAGTTGAAAAATATGCTTTGCTCCATCCTTAAAAGACGATTTTTGCTTAATACTGAACCACATCGGAGCATATACTTTAACAACATAGTTTACAAGCAATTGTAAATTTTCTGATGGATTAAGCGTACTTACATAAAGTCTGAGTAGACGATTAGCAGTAGTAAGCCATCTGGAGTGCGCCATTTTTCCAGGTTGACGGTTTGCCAATTCAGGAGTACAGAAACCGGTTAATACTGCTTGACATATTTCATATAGATATTTTTGATCTGTACTTAATTCATTGACTACATTTTTTGGCAAGTCAGGCAAATTACCATTCATACCAGAAAAAGTCACGGTGGGGCTGTTTTCATAAGCAACTAACTGTTTTCCAATAGGTCCGGAGTATTCTCTAGGACCCGAAGTAGAACCATCTATGGTCAGGAACAAGTGACGAAACGGTAACTCATTGGCATGAAGCAAACAAACGCACCATTGTAACGGTCTCTCCAAATACTCCTCTAAATATTGAATCACGCCACCCTTCCAGCCAGTATTAGTTGCAGTTCCATCACATCCAACGCAAATTACAGCATCTAAATTCAAACTTTGACCCTCAAAAAAAGTTGTGATCGAAGTAAAAATTCCATTTGCAGTGCCACGACTAGGCGTTGTATGTCCCAAAAAAATTGATCCGGGTTCTGATAACAATGAGATGTGTTCTTCCAAAATCTCTTTGCGATGGTAACGATTCCCTATTTTCTCATTTATCAGGGTCTTGTCCTTTCGTCCATCAAAGTAAATGCTATTTACAACAATACCTGCAACATCTTTTGAAGCATCTCTTCGGGCTTTACATACAGCTCTGTGGATTTTGTTTTTATCAATAACCAGTGTCAGATCTTCGGTAGAAACCAAACCCACATCAACCAAAACGGCAGAAGCAACAGCAGCAACAGATCGCATCGATAAACCGTATCTATCACTGACTTTAGCAACTGTTGGCAACGGCAACGTATTTCTATTAAACGTGGAAGTCAACGGTGTCTCTGTTGAGAAAGAGTGAGGCACTGCTTCTTCATCACAATTTTCTGATATAGAATCGGTCGTTTGAGTAACACACAACTTTTTTGTTGCCCTCATTGATTCTTCCATTTTTCTCTGCTGTCGTTTTATGAACCTGGCAGTTTCTTTCTTATCAACACCGCCTATAACCATTTTCCTGTCATTTCTTTGATCCAACAGAAAGTCTCTATCATTGATGGGAACTTTTTTATGTTTTAAACAGGAACAAGATTGAATAGAAATACATTTACAAGCAGCAACGTCGAAAAGATTTTCAGCTGACTCTACAAAATACTTCACTTTGTTTTCAAAACTGTTATTTCGTTTGATTTTGGGGTGTCGTTTCAAACTGAGGTACTTTTCGAAATAATATTTTAGTAACTGAATAATCCGTTCCTTAGTTACGATTGGAATCGAAGCTTTTGTCCAAATATTAATAACTTCTTCAGAAACAATGGCATATATTTCTGAATTGGATGGATCCTTTCCATTATACTTTAATTTTAGATCGTTCTTCACAAATAAAATATATTTCATAACATCTCTTATAGTTGGTAGCTGTCGATCGTCAAGTTCTTTGTAAGGTCCCATAATAGAACAAGTAGTCTCACTACGCCTAGAACTCATGATTTAAAACTCACAAAATCAGCTTTTGACACTAGAACAAACGCAACTGTAATGATGTTGAACGTCGAACGACGTGTCGACCACACCCCGAGCCACCTTCTCCTTCTACTTGTCTTTCTCCTACCATCAAAGCAGATCTGACGTAATCAAAGTTCACAGAATTCTCTAACTAAACTTTAACGTAACGTATAATACGACGCAGTATTATACATTATATACAATAGTACAGTACAATCTCAATTTATTTTAGTTCAGGAGCCGAAAAAATATTATCACAAAAATGACAATTTTTCCAAATTTTGAATATCTGTAGAACCCTTAAGATATATTTTTATTTTATTTTTAAAAATACTGTGATAATCTATTGGCAATTACATAAATTTTAAGAGGTCTTGCATTAAATAATGTTTTATATTTAGTTCAGGATGCGAAATTAAGTATAGTGAAATATTACCATAAAAATGACAATTTTTCAAAACTTTAAAGTTTGGTAGAACCCTAAAGATATATTGTTATAATTTTTTTAAAATTATTGTGATAATTTACGAGCAATTACCCCAATTTCAAGAGGTCTTGTATTAAACAAAAACAAAAAGCGATTTTTTGGGACACCCTAGTGTACATGTATGTGTATGGGTACATATATTTTTAGTCTACATTATTTAGTGAGCATTTAATTTTGATATCTTAAAATACTGTGTACTTCACCACTATTTTGTATATTGTAAATTGTAACATTTAATAGGGTTGTCCTGTATATTAAATAAATTAATAAATGAACACACTTTGTACTTTCATTTCACTGAAGATTTTTCTTTCAAATTCTTCACTTTCATAAGTGTCCAGGATTGAGATAACTAGATATGATATATCTAAATATAAATATACATATATGAAATATAGAAATATTTTATAAATATACTTGAAATAAAGATTACCCTGAAAATCTCTTGTTTATTTTTTGATTTTATCCATAATTTCTATACATATTGCTAATCAAGCATAACCCGAAAGCATGCCTTGATATTTATGTCAATAACGATAAATTTAGAAACCCTTTTCTATTTCTTCTTCTTTTCTATTGTATTCAGACTTTTTACAGTGTGAGGAAAGCAAATATAAAAAGCTGAAATGTAAATTTTAAACAAAATTTCATCAATTAATTTCATCATTTGTTTGTTTTTTCATTGCAATTATATAACTGTATTAAAATATTTCATCCACTTTTTAAGTATTTTGTATACATATTTAAAGTTTATACCACTCCCCCAATACCAAATACAGTATACATACAGAACATAAAAACAAAATATCATTATATAGGTAAATATAAAAGATATATCTACTGGCTATCTAACCACAGAAATAACAGTCAGGCAATGTAAACTTAAAATGGATACCAAGAGGTAGTCTGTTTTGATAGAAAAACACTACAATTATCTAGATAATATATTCATCAGAACCACACATTTTGAACTTGCCCTCTTTCTACAGTTCTCTTGTAATTGCCAGATATTTAATACCTTCAGGTATGATTATCTAAGAGTAGAGCATGCATTGATGCAGATGATGTATCGCATCACTTCAAAATTGTTATTAGAGTCAATTAACTAAGCTTTAAAATATTTTGAGAGTCACTGTCAGAAATATACAAGAGCTGAAATAAACTTACTTGTGCAGACTTCTTTAATTGAAAACAAGAAATCATAATCTCAAATATCGAAGTGTATATTCATTAATTTTGTTTAAATATTTTTGGAAAGGTATTAGTGTTGCATGGATGTAATATCATGTGTTAAAGTTTTAAGGCAAAATTTTATGTTTGTACTGTACTTCAATACTTATTTTACAAGACTACAAATTATACTGCCTATACAAGAAAATAAAGGTAATAACCTAAAAGTTTTTAAGCTTTGAAGATAATGTAGCAGGTAATTAAAGTTCCAAAATTAGTGATGATCCAATTAGAAATTTCAAAGAATTATATGAAAATTTAACACACCTAAGTTTCTGAAAAACTAAGCACTAAACCAACTGACCACCTCCTTAATCATAAGAGGTTATACATTACTAGATAATTCAGCATTAAACTAAAATCAAATTAACTGACAATACCATTACATACCATCAACTGACCATTTTAAAAATATTCAAATATGGTAATGTGTACTTCATTCAAATTATGTAAACAGAATCACATGTAATTCTAATACATTATAAGAAACAGAACTGTGTTAAAATCTACCACTGCATTATTTACTGTACTTAAATATGACTTTACTTTGGTATTTGGATGAAGTGTACTATGTTACATGTAACATAGTACACTGTTACAATGTTATATGTAAAATAAGGAATATGGCACAAACAGGAAAACATCTTCCTTGAATTTGCCCAATATAGGAAATCATTCATGTTTTATCAATTTTTTAAGTAAACATTTTAATAATCGCCAATATTCACTGCAAACCAGCATTTTTTGACGTTTATCAAAACTACATAAAAATTATTTAGTTTATATTTAGTGTACAACAAAACTAAACTCAATTTTAGGTTAGATTTACATATTTATACACAACATCCAAATACTTATCTACAATAATTAATTTCTTTTTTATTTGTATACAACTTTTTACTTGTCACTTTTAATATTTAACTTAAATTAAAAACTTACAATAGTTTGACGTTTAAGAGCTGGAACTCCTCCATCAAAAACAAATATAGGTTTAATTTTAAAATACAATAATTTGCAAACTCTGTGATATATCCCCAACAAATGAGCATTTGGAATAGGGGCTCCTTTATGATCCTGGAATCCCTTAATTGCCTGATGCAACCAAATGGAAACATCTAAATAATAACATTATTATTCAATTAGCAAACGATAAAAACACTGTGTAAGTACCTACTGCTAAAACTTTATTTTCAAGTGTCTCTAGTGGTATTGGCTTTCCTGATGATTCAATTAACTTCCAAAGGCCATGGACCCCCATATTACCCACGAAACTTGTTAAAAAATCTTCGGAACCTCAAAAATCTTTATTTTCCCACGGTCGGTAACTGTAAAGCGCTTCCTAAAGCAATAATAATAGATCTGAATTCTCATTATATTAGAGTTGGTATTAAAAGAACGAAAATAATGATTCATTGGATCAAATATGTAGTAATGAATCGGATCTTGGAACTGAAAAATATTTGTAACAACTTTTATGATGGAGTGGAAAGGTATGTATTTATTTTATATTCAGACAGACTAACTTTAAAATTATTTGTTTTTTCGGTGACAAGAGTTGTACCGCGAAATTTCGAGTAATCACACAATTTAAATTTCTCTTTATTCTTAATGCTACCAGTTTTGATAAGTTTATTGAATTCTTTATTGAACTAATGGAGTACTAATCTGCTTTAAGACTTTTCAGTAAAAGATAATTAGTTAAGTGATATGCTCTCATATTTCATAAATATGTTCAGTAACATCTCTACATCAATGATTCAGAATGAACACTTTTAGTTGGAAGCGGAGGTAATCTCTTTTTAAATTACTGTTGTATCAAATCAAATAAATGTTTGGCCACCCACTCTTTCCCACAAGGTATTTTCCCACGCCCCGATGTTAACCCCACAACACATCCTTCCCTCATTAAAAAATTGATACAGGAGGGGAATGTGCTGGAGGGGGTGAAATGAAATTCATTGTAATTTTAAATTCACACCATTTATACGAGGGTGTTATAAATAGTTCAAAAATAATTTGATCCATTTTAATAATAATATTTGAAATATATATTTTTCTTTTTATCTATTAGTAGAATTGTATATATTATATATTAGTTTTTAATATATACTCTTAACTAAGGAGCTATTACTTCAGCAATCAGTGAAAAACGTGAAAATCCTCACAAATTAGAGTGTCCTGAACAGAATTAACCTATTCTGTATGTTGTGTTGCATATTATTAAGGAAACATCTAATGGAAGAAAATAAAGAAATTTAAAATAATTATATTTTTCTATTTATGAAAAAATAGATATGTTTCTAATGATCTAGTTTCATCGTCACCACTATGGTATATTTTTTTATCATCTAGAATGCGTTCATTAGCATTAATCACACACTCGATTAAAATGTGAGGTTTAGTGTTTGTTTTTATTTTATTGTTATCATACATTTAAAGGGAACAAAAAATAAATGATAAAAATGATAACAACCTATTAAGAGGATTGAGAACATTCTTTTAATTTTTAAAATGTTTAAGGTGGTTTAAGTGAGAATTTGTGTTATCTTTCCAGTTTAGTGAAAATAAAAATGATTGTAGCATTTGGAAACCCATTATTGGATACGATAGTTACAGTAAAAGATACAACTCTTATTCAAAAATATGATCTTCCCATAGACGGCCAAAAGGAGGTACCACTTTATCTCTTGAAACAGCTGTTGCAGGATGTTCAGGATATGGAGACAACTTGTGCAGCAGGTTGGCTTAAAAATATATTTTTAAAACTAGAAACATATATTAGTTTATCTATTTTGATTTCCATAGAAGTGCGATTTCCAAAGGTATGAGTGTTTTATATCGTTTCATAGTCTGATAAGTATTGAGAAAGTAGTGAACAAAAATAATCAGTATTTATTACCTTATCAGTTATCTATTATAATAATTAAGCTTCAAATATCCATTTATTTATTGTCCCATATTTAACACTAACACAAACAAGACATTTACTGATGCCCATAGGCCATTCTATATAGCTTATACTTCACCATTGACATAAAAGCGCTTTGTATTATGGCTTACAGCTTATTATAAGTATTTACGATCTCTTTTCACTATATATGTATTTGTTTTCCGAATTTGATGTTTCTAGAATAGATTCTGTTCGATTTTAAACTTTGTGTTTTTCTTCCTTCTAAATATTTCATTCTTATCAAACTCTGCATTGTCCTATCTTTTAGCACTAAGGTTACTGTCATTATTTTTTATCAATCTGTTTCTGACACTATGTTCCTTGATATTATACTCTGTAAAAATTTGTAACAAAATATTTTGATTTATATTTTTTAATTATTTAATAGCTACTATAGAAGTATACAAAATATAAATAAAATAGAAAAAGAATACTATAAAACTCACAAAAACACAAAGACAAAGAGTGGGAAAGAAGAAATCATGGATATACTAAAAAAGGTAAATACTACTGAAGAACAGCAATTTGATGAATAAAGGTTGATTCAGACCAACAGTCACAGGAATATCAGATAACAGTCAAATCACCATCACATCAAGAGTCAAACACAGCCCGGATAGATCACCAGGCATGGAAGTATACTTCAGCATTCAGGTCAATCAATATGTAAAAAATGTAATAAAAATCACTTGTAATGTAAAACAATTTTTTAAATTGCTATTTTTCATTGCTAATCAATTTAATGTAGACTACTTATACTAAACACAATGCAACCTCAATATAGCAAAACTGGAAGGAAATTAGAAAATATTTTTGTTTATCGGTGATGGTCAAGAAATGGCAGTTCCATTTTGTCTTACAAAAAACTGAACATGTCTGAATCTGTCGAGACATGAATTATTGTGAAATTTAGTGAGATAATTGATACAATTCATTGTAAAAGTTATAAATTGACAAAATTCGTTATATTGAGGGGTCATTATAATTAAGGTTACACTCTATAATATACAGTGTATATACTTAATGGATGTGATAAATCATAATATTTCTTCAAGTGACGAAAATATGATACAAAGACTGAAAACAGGTGGCTGACTGACTGTGTCCTATTCACACCAACCCAGCATTCCGGTCCAGTCAAGATCTCTCAAGTTACAGTCTTGGTTGCTGGTGGAGCAACTGGACGGTCAGTGATCTTGACTATTCCTTGACTGTGACTGTACCTTCTGTGACGTGACTGTTGGAATGCATCAACCTTAATGCTGCAACATAACATAAAGGGAAAATAATGCATACAGACTATTACCACAGCAACATATGACACAATAAACAGAAGAATTAATATGATGTTAAGGAGAGAAAAATAGATCAAAGAAACAAAAGAGAAAATACAGAAAAAGAGAGATATGATAACTAAATAAACCAACAGAAACCAAGAACAATGATGTTCAGCGACAAACAAAGAGACATAGTAACACATCAAAGGATGGACAGAATTCTTCAAAAATAAGTTTGAAGAAAACCAAAATGAACTATATGATGGAATTATACTGGATCAATCAGATAAATACCCCCTTGATTGCATGAATTAAGAATGAATAAACAACTGCCACAAAAATAGAATACCGGAGTGATCCAACTACAAAAAAAAGCAGACTAAATTCAATGCAAAATCTGAATGAGAAAACAAGAGATGCTTTATTCAGTATTATTTAGCATCACATTAGAGAAAATAATCAGAGAGTCAAAAGTCAACACCATAGAGGCAGTGATAACAAAAAATGTAGGTATAAATATTAGCTTGCAGATTGCTAATTGCAAAACAAGTTGAAATACATTATTTAACTGTTTCAGAATACTGTACTAAGAAAATGGTTACTGCTTCTAGTGGGAGTTGAAATTATGAGTATCTATATATAAATAGTAGTACCTTTTGGTTCTTTAGAAAAATAAAATGACGCCTGTAATAGCTCCATCTCTTAACACACTAAAACTTATCGAACAACCATATTTTTTTTAAATTACTCTTTAATTTGTTGTTACATTTCAGGTGGTTGTGCACAAAACACTTTACGGGTGTTCCAGTGGTTTACTGGGAAAGTCCATGAAGCATTTATAATTGGTTCAGTTGGCAATGATGAGAAGGGGTCTCTAGTAAAATCTTTAATGGAGGCAGATGGTGTAAAAACAGAATATATTGTGCAAAATATTCCAACCGGTGCAACAGTTTGTTTAGTTGATGGCAGTCGAAGATCCCTAGTAGCTAATGTGGGTGCTGCTGAATGCTTTAAAGTAGAGCAAATCAGACGTACAAATATAAGGTCTATTATGTATGATGCAGATTTAGCATATATAGAGGGTTTTTTCTTGACGAACCGAGAAGAAGCAGCTAGATATGTGCTGGATTGTTGTAATACTCTGAAACTGATGGTTGCGTTTAATATTTCTGGAGTGTATGTTTGTGATATGGTACCAGACACTTTACAATATTTTGTTGAACATTGCGATATAATTTTCGGTAATAAGCGTGAGTTTGAAGCTGTTGCAAAATTAATGAAGTTTAGCACTGTTAAAGAACTTATTCAAAAAATACTAAAAAACAATACTTACAAACTAAAAAAAGTGCATGGTAACATTGTTGTAATAACCGATGGAGCAAATCCAGGGCAATGCCATCATGGAGAAGGAGAATATTTTGAATTCCATGTTATGGATGTTGAACAAGATAAATTTAAAGATTCAATAGGTGCAGGGGATGCTTTTGTCGGAGGATTCTTAGCTGGATTGCTGGAAAAGAAACCACTTGACTGGTGTGCTACGTTAGGATGCTACACTGCTAATGAAATTATTAGGCAAACAGGGTGTACTTTACCAAAAAGGCCTCCTGTATTTGATCTTAATGATATTCATTAATATTATTACTGTGTTTAATGTTGGTGGTGTGTACTTCAGAGGAATATATTGTGATAAATTTTATCTAATCTTAAGATACTTTATAAATTTGTTTAATATTGACATGTATAAAATTTGGAGTTTTTCTTCACCAATAAATGTATATTTTACAGTTTTCAATTTAATTCTTTTGTTAGTTGCGTCTTTTGACTTTTGAAACATAGTTTTCGTACAATTATATCTATATTTAGCAAGAACAGGAAACCTTTTTAATTGATTGCTATAATAGTTAAATAATCGTATTATGGGCTTGGATCGAGTCATTTTTTAACTCTTATATTTTGACTCTTATGTGGGTGCATCTCATCACAATGAATCGTTACTCTTGTAGGTAGCTTCTTCGAGGACAGGGGAAGGCTGTTGATCACTGTAATTAAGGTATTTAACGTACTTAGGGTAGAAGACCAACGGTCGGGAGAAACAATTTCACACAAACCACTCAATGTATCCAGAAGTGAAACGTGAATCCCCCAGTTGTTAATTTTCACCTCTGGGTACATTGACTACTCGAATTACCGATATTACCAACCTTTTCCTACTGAAAAAACTCTGCAAAAGTGAAATGTTGACATAAGGGTCGTCCAAAATGGACACGATAACCCAAGTTCGTGGAAACCCAAGTTCTCCTCCCGTGGAGGAGATTTTTTCGGATAAATTTAAGCACTACATTTCTAAAAAGGTTTCATAGGTATAGTTTATTGTTTATCTAGTCTTTATTTTATAAACTTAATAATAATTCAGTTTACTTTAGATCCGATTTTTATAAATATTTGGAATTAAGAAAATGATTTTGTAGTTATTAACATAATTTTTGTAAAGTTTAAAATTTCGAAGATAAACGAGATATTGCAGTAGTTTTAAAAACATACGTTAACCAATTGTCGGGAAATATTTACGACCCATGAAAAGTTTTGTGAAGAGTTAAAAAGTTTTCTAGATTTAAAATCTATATTAAACAAATTTAATCAAAAATTTTCTAGATACAACAAAAGACAGCTAAGAGAAGCCAAGGATAATAAAAAGGATGATTCTCAAAAGAATTCTAAGACCAAAAAAATCCAAGATGGTGTTAAGACAATTATTTAACAACGAGATAGCAAACCAGAAAATTGAAAAGATCGAGTCACACATACAAAGGCTGCTCGGAGGTTGAAATGGCTCGATAATGTACTAAGACGAGAAAAAAACAAATTAATAAAGAAATTATTAAATTACAAATACAAGACTTATAGGGAAACCAAAGTTTAGATGAGAAGATCAGGTCAGAGAAGATATTAATAGAATGAAGGAACCTAGCTGGAGAACAAAAATAGAAAAGAATCTACCTTAATCACCAATCTGGCAAAATCACAAAACAACCTGTGAAGGAAAAAGAGAACAAGAAAAGAAAGAAAAAGCGGAGTGGTCTCCCGCGAAAAAACTAGATTAGAAGTGCTGTTAATGGTCAGCTTATACTCCTGTCAGACCCACAATATATAAACCTATTAGATTCTAGACACAAGAAAACAATAACTAGATTAAGATAAAAGTTTGTAAAATATTTGTTAATATATATTGGGTTTCATTCGAAACGTGAAAACAGGAATAATAAAAAATCATTTTGCTAACTAAGAGTGCTCGTACCGAACATTAATTCAACAAAGATATTTGTAAGACATGAATGGGTTTTTCAAGCTATCTGTTATACCGTTCGTACTGCAGCCAATTGGATTAATAATATCCATTTCAGAATTCTGGAACTTTGTACCAGCTTATACAGGTATATTGGATGGGTATCATATTATGTTTTTGGAGTAACTTACAGAAAGGAGACTCACAGTAAGGAAGATGGTTCTGAGTTGATTCCTGTCTATTTTCCGCTGTACTTAGCATATGTCCATCCAATATACATTATGCCATGTTTGATCGGATATACTACAAATAATACATGTAACTTATCTACCGTACGGATTGCGTCGTATTTAGACATGTACGAGGAAAATTTTTGTAGTAAAAAAAGTATTTGTAAAAATATTAAGCTTCTCTTCTTTTATTTTGTAATTATTTTCTTAAGTTTGGTTTTTCATTATTGTCTATATAGCGCTACAAACATCTTTGCAACTATTCTTTTAAGTTAATTACTATTTAACTGGGAATAAGCCACAATTAAAGATAAAAATACGTTTATTATAGCTTCAGAACAATATTCTTTTAAGAGCGTAGGCGCAAAATTTCGGGCCAATGCTTTTTAAATGTATTCATTTTTTTTTCGAATTTTGAGAAAACTAATAAATATTTTTGAAAAATTTAAACGCAGAATGAAAGAATACCTACATTATTACCGAGGGCCGAAAGTCTCTGAAAACTTCTATAATGTTTATTTTAATAAGATACAGGGATGAAAAAAAAAGAGAAAATTGAGTGTGATTTTTAATTTCAAATATCTCATTCAAAAAAACTTTTTGTTTATTCTAAGGGACTTTAGGCCCTCAGTAATAATGTAATCTTTCATTCTGCGTTTAAATTTTTTAACAATATTGGTTAGTTTTCTCACGATTCGAAAAAAATGAATTCATTTAAAAAGCATTGGCCCGAAATTTTGCGCCTACGCTCTTAAATCAATCAACTAAAGACTATTATCGGCGCATTGTATCAGATTCAGCTATATCATCAGATACTATTATTCTCATGAGCAAATTTAATTTCTTGAAAACATTCTCTCATGTTCGATAAAATCTGTGGATTTATGGCATTCTGTAGTCTAATTCTTGTTTTTTTGTCAATAAAATTTTGATACAATATTTTAACATGTATTGGAATAATATGGTGATTTTATATATACTATTTTTTAGAATATAATGATAATCAAAATGAAGTAATTAAAATTAAATGCAAGATTAATAATATAATGAAAATGTGAATGATGAATAAATTCTATATTATATATAAACAAATTTTTTAAATTACTGAAATGATTAAACAAAATTTTTAAAGAAAAAAATAAGATTTTTTATATTTTAAAGAACATATGGTGTTCTTAACAAAATTCAAAAATATTAACATTTCAATAATAAGCAGACATACAATTTCATTCAAGGAATATTCACTTCCGTCGGTACTCCCCAAGTGCCACGCGCTTTTTTTAATACTAAATTATTAATAAAAATATTAAAAATTGTAATGTAAAAACAGTATGTATATTTTTTTTGTGATGTTTTATATAGTTCCTAAACTACTAGTGGTACTTATATAGTTTGTTAGAGAATTGTTAGTACCCGTTTGTCAGTACTTTGTTTATTGTAGTGTTTTGATTAATTAGTTGTTAAACAAATTTATAATATTATATTTTAATCAATTATACAAATTTCTGTGAATGTTTGCTGTGTTTTATTTAAACTAAAAATGAAGACTAAAGACAGATTATATACGAAAATTAATCAATTACAATGTATTATTCATAATACGAATGAAGGGGGTGAACTATCATTTATAAACTGTTGCAATAATCATAATATAACAAGTGTGTAGTGGGAGCACTTAACAAAGAATCCTTTTCAATTTATAGTCATCATCATCATGATCAATCTGTACGCGTCCATTGCTGAACATAGGTCTTCCTCAGCTCTTTCCATCTATCTCCGTCGCATGCACTAACACACGCTACATTATGGGTATAATATTTTCTTAAGACTTGTGTTAAATTCAGAGTAAATGGAAGTAAATTTCCCGTCTAGGAAGTCGTGCCTTCGGGTGCGTCCATGATGCCCTACCTATCAACTAAAACTACCCTCAACTATACACGCGCCGCTGGTCTTTATGCATACGCGGATTTTTTCTCTTCTGTTTTTCCCTTTATTATTTATGTCTGCTGTCGTTTCCATTCTAGGATCTTTCCTTTTTTATCCTAGTTATAGCCCCCAGGAATTCTTTGTATTTATTTTCTCCTCTTCCCGCCACTTCCATTATGTTTTTCGTCCACCCTGTTATATAGCTCCGCCCTCTCATTCGTGAACCCTTTGCAATCGAAAACACAATGTGGAGGGGACCACTTCCATGAGAATTTTCTTTCTACCTGTTCCCAGATCTTCTATGTTTTGTATGATCTTTATTAGCGCTGCTGTTCTTTGATCGGATTTATTTTTTTTGGGTATTTGTTAAAAGAGATATATTCTCTCGTTTTTGGACCCTTAGAGGGTATGACCTCCGTCTTCTGTGTGGTTAACGTCAGTTCTCGCTCCTCTAGCCACATCCTAACTTGTTCAACAGGTGTTATCCATTATGGGCCCATTCTCGAAGTGCTCCATTAGCATGACTAGATCGTCTGCCTCATCGTCAATCAATTGCCTTTATTCCCTCTCCTAGATTTTTCTTCAGTTTATCATTAAAGAGTACATTCTAGGACCGAGTCCTCTGACATTCTCGCAGATGTCTTCAAAAGTTCGATGGAAAAGTTTGTAGGTACCAATTACTACAATAAAACAAATTTGTCTTTCGGCAAGTTTGGAATTGATGTCTTGTCAAACCATTGTTCGTATATTGATCAAGAAATCGTTCCATCGTTCTCTTCTTGATTAAAAAAGTTAATTCGGTCCATACCATAAAACCAGTTTCGCTTCCAGCATGAAGAACAAACCGAAGACCTCTTGGCTTAAAAACATAAGGGATTGGACAAATCTCGATGCCCATGCACTTTTTAGAGCCACACAATATCGAGAGGAGTATTCCAGAATTGTCGCCAACATCTACTAATTGGATAGAGCAACATAAGAAGAAGAGGTACTTGTGTCTCCAGGATATGATATCTTTTCTTTCCATCAATATCGAATCTCGACCTCTTTTACCATATACAAAACGCATGTCATTTAGTAGCCTACGAAATGTGGTTTTTGAAAAAGATGGTAGGTACTCATCATCCTTCACTCTGTTTTTTATGCTGTCAACGGTTAGTGGTTTTCCAAAAAAAAAATCATGCACAATTTTTCTTGTTCTAGATTTCATTCCTTCATCGTAAGTATTCTCGCGTGAATTGGACTGGAAACTGTTTTTCTTCCTTTTTTGTACCGGTTTCAGCTCGCCTTACTGGACCTCTTTGCGGACATCGAATTTTGCGATCACTCACACCGCACATTTTCGAAACTTTTTACGCAGTAATAATCAAGCAGTCAGCATT